ATGGAGTGTTTCTGTTCCCAAGATCTCCTCTCACTGCTGCACACGAGCGCCCAGAGTCAGGTTTAGCTGCAGCACAGGCTCAGCAAAGCCATTACTGGAAATAACCTCCCCTGTCTCTCCAGCCAGGGCAGAGCGTGCCCTTGGATCCCATCTGACAGCTTTCCCGGGAGACACGTGTTCCCAGCGCCCAGCCTCCCACCGGGCTGGAACAACATCCAACCTGGAAGCACAGCCAGGGCAGACACCTCGGTGCCCAGTGCAAGGGCTGGCCTGGGGCAGCAGGGAGGGCTGAACACCCCCGGGCCACCTGCTTATTCACAGCAGAGAGCAGAAAGCAGGAGGGTCACTGAGCTGCAGTGAGCAGGAGATTAATAAATAATAAATAGGAGCAGCATCAATTACCAGTGCCAGAGGGGGATGCTGTATCTGGATGCAGTTCTGCTGACTGGGCCATATTGGTAAACCACAGAGTGCTTTTAGCTTCCACCCCGACATTAATTTTGGCAGTGGAAAGAGGTTTTATTAAAAGTACTGAAAATGTCATTCATCTTTATTCCTATTGCATTTGTTACGAGGATTTCAACCCCGATATGGAGCTATGGGGAGATGCAAGAATTGAAATGGACTCATCTGATCATAAAAATAAATGAAACTCTAAACAGAAGCTCACGTTTTAAACGGTGAGAAGCACATTTGTGTATTATATTTCTAGTACTGTAAGGTACTGTAAGGTGGTACTGATATGACCTGTTTTTCAAGGTTGTTTTTTTCTCTGAGGTGTTCTTTTTAAATCCTTTGCAGAGCAAATTATCTGTAGGTACGTTATGACAGCAGCCCATAATCCATAGGGGAAAAAAACCAAATAAAAGGTGGGAATGTGGAGAAATGAAATCATTCAATTACTGTTTTAAAATATTAAATTCAGAGGAAAGAAATCTATTCTCTGAAGCACTACCCAGTAATCTAAGCTGTTCAAAATACTGCTGTAAGTTCACTTATTCAAAATTGTCCCCATGTTTTGTGCTCGTTCATGGTGACATGTGACCCTTGGGGAAAGGGGGTGGCTTATGTTACTTTGAATGTCTATTTTTTAATGTATTCCTTGACCCTTTAGAACTTCTTAGTCCAAACCTGTTTGTGTTTTAAGGTTTATCAAAATATTTCCCATCAACATTATTTCTTCAATAAATGTTTTGGCTTGACTAAGCAAAAATATACATGTAGAGGGGCTTAATTTTTTCCAGCACGTCTAATTGTCTTTGTATAAAACCTCAGTTTTTCATGTTGTTTAATTACTAATACATTAATTTTTCCCAAGAAACTTCCCACTGGCTGAAACACACACAGATATTTCCACATCCTGGAAAATACCCAAGAAGGATTCTAACTTTTCTCGTCCTGTATTTGCTGTTTGGAAACATGAATTTTATAAGCACGTTCTTTCTAGCAGGTGCTCACAAGAAAGGGGTTTGCAGAATCAGGACCTTTGCTGACAAGTGTCCTGGATTTGGGATATTTGCTGTACCAGAATCCCAGAGGTCCCATGAAAGCTCTCTTTCTGTAACTCACAATGACCCACCCTCTCCTTGTTCAAGGGACATGAACTTCCCCAGGAGTGTCGAGCTTGGCTGCAAGTTCTTTCCTTCTGAACTGTATTTTGCTCAGTCCCAGTACATTTTCCCAAATAAATACTTTCTCTTGGAGTACAGGATGTAACTATTACTGAATCTTACATTACTAGCTATTGCAATTAAATTAATAACTATTGAACTAAGGACCCCTTATCCCTTTTCTTTACTGCAATGAGGCTTTGTTTGACTAAACAGAGATTCTCCAGGGACTGTGGTACAAGTCCCCTGACCCTAAATATTTTTGCTTTATGAATGCAGTTTTTGTTGCCTGGATTCTCTCCCTCAGCTGCAGGTAAGGCTCTCACAGACCAGTGCTCTCCTCAGTAATTCCAGGGTTTGGGAGCAGCTTCCCCAGGACACACACCCGCTTTCCAAGGCTGCTGGCAGGGATGGAAGAATGTTCTCTGGGAATCTGACACGTAGCTAGGTAAGCAAATCCTCTCTGTGTTTGAAGGTGTTTCACCTTCACCACTGCTCTGGTGTGCTTGGCATCACAGAAAGTTCAGGAGCCAGGCTGAATTCTCAGGGTGGATTCTGAACTCAGCATCTCCTGGGTGCCAGCTGTTTTTCTGTTAGTTGCTCAATAAGACAATTAACCCCTTGAGGAAAGTCCCTTTAAATGGGGAAATATCAGGCTTTAAGCTTTCACTCCAACTGCTTGATCAGCATCCATGCAACTGAAATGTTCCTTACCAGATTACTTAAAGGGTGACCTACACGTGTGCAGGTGGCTGGGTGCACGTGTGTGTTTGCAGAACTGTAGAACCTGATTTCTAAGATTATTACAACGTTATTGTTGCCATCATATTATTTCCCAGGAGCACTTTTAAAAGCCAAGCTACAGCTTGCAAATTTAATGGTACAGCACCAAATGTAAACCCATAACACACACCTGAGTGCTAGAAGAACCAGCACGGGGAGGAGAGCTCTGATACAATTCTGATTGTAGGAAAATAAAACCACCCAAACCCTACTCTTCTGGCCCTCCCAATGTGGGTTTGCATAAAGAAAAGGGGGAAAAAAGGAGAATTGGTGGTTGGGAAGTGTATAAACAGGCTTGGACCAACCTTAAGTCACCTGTATATGTTTCAAGGTTAGAAGATGAAGAACAAACAAAGAATCAGAACAGAGCTGGCTCCCAGCAGAGTTCTGCATTTTGTTGAACAAATATTCATACTGATCACAAACCTGCATATTTTTACCACGCTGTAGGAATTCAGCACAGTATAAAATTCTGGTGCTGACTGTAAGGGACACCAGATCCAGGTTCCACCAACCCCAGCATTTCATCTCCCTTCTTTCCACCAGCTGCCCAGGGTTAGTGGCTCAATAATTTCACATCATTGCCCCTCAGTTCCCGTGGAGTGACTCGCAAAGTCTCTCAGCAATTCTGAGCTAACTGTCCTTGAACCCACTGGAGATCAACCATCCTAATCCTCACCACAAGTAAGAAGTTCAGGATCATCTTCCTGATGATCATTAGTTAGGAACTCAGGTGTATGGACTTTGCTGCCTTTGTGTCCTGAATTCCATGCAGCCTCCCAGAACCAGTTCCCCTCACCTTAAAACGCTGCCAATTATATTCTCCTCAGACTCCAACAGTTTTGCTAATTTTATGCGATGTTCTCAGAAGTCGTTTAAAATAACTCTTTTGTTCCATAATAACAGGGAAACCGAAAGAAACTGTGAGAATGCAGAATGTAACTAAGGAGACTGAGCTACTCCTACTTTTTGCTCTGCCTGCCCTCACTGAGCATTTCTGTTCAGTGTGCTTTTGCTGATTTATTTCCTTTAATGAACCATCTTGATATTCTGCTACCTGGGTCCTTCCTTGGGAAGGAGCAGTCATGGTTGTCATTCAGCTGTTAAAGAACTGGCAAATAACAGCAGGTTGGAGCAGTTCTGGACCAGGGTTGGAAAAATAAAATGAGAGTTTAAGACAGAGAGTTCTGAACAGACTCGGGAAGGAAGCTGAAATTTAAACATTGTAAAAGCTTCATCTAATTTGGGTGGAAAGTCGGGAGAAAGGAGGGCTCTGCATTGCTTTTGGGACCAAATGGAGAACTTCAAACTAGATCAAACTCCCGGGAATGTCTCCGTGGATCTCTCCAGGTTTAACAGAATGCACACCACAGCAATCAAAGGATACACAGGCAGGCAAATTGTTATGGAAGGGGAGACAGTGCTGGGGTGATTCTGGGATATGAGCTGGTCCTTGGAATTATTATTTTGAGTAAGTCTATTAGAGACACTTACCTGAAGTCACAAATAGAGAAAGAAAGAGGAAAAACATAATTATTTATTACTTCAGCACTATTCTTAATCCACCCGAGGAGCTATGCAATCTTGAGAAGTGCTGATCTTTCACCTTTTTTTACAGAGCATAATTTACACCCTAATGGTGACAGTCCTTCAGAGACCAGGAGCATCTTGAGTTACCATAAGAATCATGCAATACATTGCAATACAATAAAAACATGTAAATTTTTTATGGCAGCAATGCTATTTGCATGCAAAAAATAATTTATAAAGTGGGACTGCCTAAAGATTCACCTCAGTCAGGATGCTCCCTGCAAAGGGGTTAATAACAGCAGCTGATTGAGAAAAAGGTGCAAGAAATTTTGCAATTGAGAACTGTGGAGCAACCTGCTCACAGAGCTTCTGTACATCTCACCCAAGCTTCAGGAGAAAAACTGCTATTTTTGTGGGAGCTGGCCTAGTCCCGGCCTGTGTGGAAGCCCCAGGTTTGAGAAATGTCACCATTTGGTGAAATTCTGCGAGTTACAATTTATTTTAGGTGTTTTGATTTGCTTTGGCTACACCAGCTACCAAGTGGCCCAACAAAAAACCAGAATATTTGGGTTTGTCAGTTAGTTGTCTATATTAGATCTTCAGGTTTTAGCAGATCTTTTCAGCTAAAACTTTAGTTACAAACAATATTTTTGTAGTATGCAGAAGCAGAGCAATGAATAGGTCCATTTATTTCTGGTGACCTGCACAGTTGTCCACTGAACTACAAACCAGGGCAGTTTATGGACCTGTGTGCACGTGCAAGAAAAGGAAGGTTAACAATTAAAAAGAAATTAAAAAAAATAAAGATAATGCACAGCACAGGGCTGTGTGAGGGCATCAGACCAAACCACTGCAATGTGAGGTTCTTCTGACAGATTTTAAAATGCAGCAAAACTGATTTGTCCAGTGAGATTTGCCAAGCAAACCCCACCCAGCCCACGTGGAACAACCCTCCCCTCTGTAAACAACCACTTCCAGTCCTCATAATCCCGCTCCATAATAGCAGGATAACTGTGTATCAATCAAAATTTTCACTGGAGAACAAGATATAACTGAGTCACTGCATCAGAAACAGGAACTGTTGCAACAGTTGTATTTTTACAAAAGGATAGGTGTGGTGGAAGCATTAGCTCTGTGGACGTGTGGGAGAAACATGTTGGATAGTTCAGTTTCCTTACCCCAATTCCACGGATTTGAGGACATGGCAGAGCACAGACCTGTGGGCAGAAACACCTGTCAGCTCTCAGAAAACAGAGAATGCATAAAAATTGGGATGCAAGAAAATGAGAGATTCCTAGGAGAGGATAAGGTCTGAATGGGTGGTTTATTTAAAAAAAAAAACCATATTCAGGTACTGTAACTGTCCCACTACTAAAAGCATGTAAGGGAAATACAAGGAAGAAAAGCAGTAAGTATTTGTGTGATAAGGAATGTGCAATGAGAAAAAAGCATGCATTAGTTTTTAATGGTATACTTTATAATGACATAATTCATTATATAATTAATTCACACAGCAATTCTTCTAGTCCAGTAACAAAACTTCAATGCCATCGCTTTCTAGAAGTAACAAAATGTGATTTTCTCTTTGTTATGAACCTCAGAATGTTATTTTTGTTCACTGCATGGATTTTTTTTCTGTATGATCCAGCGTCAGGTAAAGATTTTCCACAAAATCTGATAAGACACATGAATTTTCCTTTGCAAAACAAGGATTTTTCTCTTCCTCTCTTCCTTTTTTTTTTTAAATCCTTTGTGTATAAAATTTTTTTTCCCTGATGTAGCAAGTGGTCATTCTTTTCCTCACAAATTGTGGTGTATTCCCAAGAGGGTATTTCAATCTGCTAAGCCTAAAAGCAATCTCTAACTAACTAAAAAAAAACCAAACAAAAAAAATCATGCAACTTGCCTCCTATAAATCTCCCTGAGATTTTATGACTTAAATGTTGTGTGTAACTGCTTTTGAAATCTCTAGAAAACTTTGCAAATATCTAATTAACTTGTGGTGTTTCTTAGGCGCTGAGATTTAATCAGTGTTTTCCAGCTGGGAGTGCTGGATGAATCTCTGGCCTCAAGAACATTGACATTCCCCTCTGCATACATGTGGTTCCACAGATTTTAGTGGGATAATTCCTGTCCACAATGCACATGTACATGTATTTCTTTCAGGGGTGGAAGAGAAATTATTTCCCCACGGTTACTGATGGAATACAAGCAATTTGGGACAATAATTCAAGAATAATTTATTCTAACGTCAGGAAACGTCTTGTTTTGCTATTTGTAAATCTCAGGGTGACAAATTAAAGCTTTGGCGCATCATAAATGTTACTTAAAAACAAACATTTGATTATTGCAAAACCAAGGTTTAACCACACCAGGATCTAATAGTTTTTCATAACAGACAACCTGAATAATAGCCAACCCACTTTCCTGCAGTTTAATTGGCAAACCTGCTCTTTCCCTTACTAATTACAGGTAACCACACCTCCCTTCAGAAAGCATGACAGCAAGGAACAGTTTGGTTTAAATTCTGAAGAAGCAAGAATCTTCTAGGGGAAGAGTTTGCAGGAAAAGCAGCCAGGTAATGTCAACTCTTTAACAAGGTATAAATAAATAAGGGGGGAAAAAAAACCCCCAGATTTACCCTGTTGGAGGAGGAAAAGTGATGCAATACTGTATTAATACTTACTTTTCAATATTAATTAGGGTTTCAGTATATGAGTTCTGGTGTGAAATGATCCCATCTTGGAAACATCTCTCCTGCCTGGTTTATGTGAGGCCCAGTCTATAAGACAGAAATTGCAATTTTTCTTTTAATGCTAATTAATTTTTTTCTACTTTCTCTTCCGTGCAAACCCTTCCAGACCAGTGGTGGATGTTGTGAGGAGAATATGAAAAGAAGGCTCTGGAAGCTTTGGCTGCGAGAGCACCTTTATTGCCAACACCGGGAAAAGAGAAGTTCTAAGCTACGGAATTGCTGCTCGTCGGGTTCCCGAGGGAAAGATCACGGAACTGTGCAATAGTTGGGGTTGGAAGGGACCTTTGGAGATCCTCCAGTCCAACCCCCCTGCCCAGGTAGGGTCAGCTGGAGCAGGGGACACAGGGACACATCCAGGGGGGTCTGGGATGTCTCCAGAAGGGGACACCTCCATGGGAAGAAGTTCTGCCTCGTGCTGAGGTAGAACTTGTTGTGTTTGTGTTTTAGTTTATGGCCATTGCTCCTCATCCTGCCCTTGGGCACCACTGAACAGAGTCCGGCACCACCAGCCTTGGAGATGTTTGTATGGATTGCTCAGATCCCCTCTCAGCCTTCTCTTCTCTGGACTAAACAGGCCCGACTCACACAGCCTCCCCTCACAGGATGGGATACAAGGGTATTTATTGCTTTCCAGCCCTCTGTGAGCAGCATTTGAAGGCCTGTGGCCCTCCCTTCCCACCCTTGTGGGAACCCCGGGCAGCCCCGAGCGCTCACGTTCCACACGGTGAGGGGGCCCCGTGCCTCTGCCCGTCCTGCGCTCCGTGCCAGCCCCTCTGCTCCCGCACCACCAGCCGCGGGGCAGTTCCGTGCCTTTTTTTTTTTTTTTCGTTACCCACGAGGCTTTCGCAGCCTTTTTTTTTTTTTTTTCCTTCCCGGCCTGCAGGGCCGGCGGGGCGGCCGCGAACCCTCCTCGCTCCGCCCGCCCGCGCCCTTTGTTCGCGCTGAGGGGGCGGGAGCGCGCGCGCAGGGCGGGAAGCGGGAGCGCGACAGAGCGAGAGCGCGCGCGCGCGCGCGCGCGCGGCCGCCGCCCCCGCCCCGCCCGAGGGGCCGAAGGGCGTTGCCCGGCCGGGAGCGCGCGCGCGCACACACACACACATACATACACACACATATACACACACACATACACACATATACACACACACACACATATACACACACACATACATTCATACACACACACACACCGCGAGGCGCCCAGGAGCGCGCGCCCCGGCCGCGCTGGGCGGGTGCCCGGTGGAGGCGGCGGAGCCTCCGGTGAGAGGTTCGGCTGGAGGGAACGCGCCGGGGGCTGAGCGGGGCCGGCGGAGCCTCCGGTGAGAGGCTTCGGCGAGAGGGGCGGCGGGGCCGGGGCGGGGCGGGAGCCGAGCCGGGGTTTCCCGGGCGGGCAGCACGGGCGGGGCGGAGGGAGGAGGAGGAGGAGGGAGGTTCGCCGCGCCCAGGCTGCCGCTGCCCGATGGCTGCGGGGAGCTGAGCGGGCTGAGGAGGAGCCGAGCCCCAGCGACACCCCCCTTCCTTGCCGCGGATCCCTCCTTCCCGCCCGGCTCTGCCGCCTTCCCCGGGACCCGCCGGGCGCAGCGCGGGCGGCTCCCCCCGCTCCTCCTCCGCCGCCTTCTCCTCCGCCCCCCCTTCCCTTCCCTTCCCCAGGCCGGCGGGACGCGGGCAGGACCGCGGGCGGCGGACGGACCGGCCCGGTTCATGAGCATCGGCCGGCAGGGCAGGTAACCGTGTGTGCGAGGGGAAGGAGGGCGGGGGTCCCCTCGGAGCGGCGCCTCCCGCCCGCCGAGCCCCGGCCGGCCCCACCCCGGGGCCATCTTCGCTCGGCTCCCCCTCAGTCCCGCGCCTTCCCCTCCCCCGCGCTTCCTCCTTCTCCTGCCGCACTTCTCCTTTCTCCCTCTCCTTTTCCCCCCCGTCCTCCCCTTCCGCCGCCGCACCGGGGAGGGGGCCCTGGGCCGCCTTCTCCCTCCGAGCCCCCCGCCCGTGGCGGGGCTGGGAGTCGCCCCCCCCTCCCCGGGGCTCCAGCCTCCCCTAAAAAAGAAGTGTGTTTGTAGCTGGAGGAGGAGGAGGAGGGGGGAAAAAAAAAAAAAAAGAAGGTGGGGGTGGGACTGATTCGCCTCCCGAAGGCTTCCAGGCGAAAAGGGAGGAGACCTCGGATCTTGCGGGGTTCCATTTTTAATTGTAATTACGCCGTGGTGGTCCCCGCCAGACGGTTTTGGGGAGGGGAAGGGTGCGGGGTCTTTTCTTATAAAGGCACAAAAGGCGAGTTTCCCGAGCGATCCAGCCGGCAGAGGGAATATTTGGAGAGAGATTCAAGGAGGGAGGGGGAAAAAAAAAAAAAAAAAAAAAGGAGCAATGGTGTGGCTGCTGTAATGGTGGAAAACTGATTAAGAGGAGCCGGGGGTGAGACAAACAGGGTAAGGCTGCTCCCGGCCCCCCGAGCCAGCCCAGGGCTCGCAGATGGGGCTCCTGCTGGGTGTGCTGGGCGAGGGAGGGGTGGGGAAGGGTTTGTTCTCGCTAAAATCACAACCCAGGATGGATTTAGACCGCATATTTGTTGTTTCCCCCCCTCCCTCCCCCCCAGTGTATTACGGCGCTGCATATTTTTGTGTGCCCGTAGCAGCGGTAACGAAGATCATGGAGGGTGTTTGCTACAATAGGAAGATGGAGTTTCCTCCTCGGAAAATGCTGTTTAAAATATCGTTTCGGTTCCTTGCTTTTTATTGTAAGGATTTTCGGCGTTAATTTTTTTTTTTTTTTTTTTTTTTTTTAATCCGCGCAAGGGGTATGGAACGTGTGGGGGTTCTGATCCTACAGCTCGGTAGGGAATGAGGATGTGTAAAGCCTTGCATGTAAATGCGAGAGAGACAAGGCGTTTTATTAACAAAAAAATCCTGTCCGGGAGAAAATCAGAATGATGTAGGGGTTGTAAGATGTCGATTTATCATTGCTGAAGACGAACTGAAATTTTAACGAATGCGATATTTCATTATTCTCTAACAAAGTCACGGCCGGGACTCGTTGTTTTAAGGCAGGCATCCTCTCTGGGATGCCGACTGCCACGTTATTATGTATTGTCTCCACAGGAGGAAATAGGAGGAAAGGGCTGTAAATGTAAGGCTTAAGTGATTATTGAAACAGCTTTTGAGAATAGTTGCCTCAACTTGGAGAGGTGATTTAAGACTGAAAAATCGCACATTTTTGCTGCTGTAGAATATCCACACCCAGTCGTGAGAGTTTTATCCCGTATTTTAAGCTGATCTGGACACAAGGATGTGAGTCGAGGCAAAACGCTGTCGGTGTGTCTGTGAAATGCGTGCGAGGAAACCAAGACGATCCGCTAATACCTAAATTCGTTCTAAATGCCATGGCTCGGAGTTCCTCTCCTTCCCTGGCGTGCTTCAGGAGAGGAGAAGGGGAAGGGGCGATAACAGTGTAGTTGTTTTGGTGGCTGCAGATTAGCCAAGGGTGTGTGTTTGATTTTTCTTTTTCGCTGTGAATGAATGGATCTCTCTGTGCCTGGGCCCAGTAGCTGCAACAAGATGGCGTTTGCAGCAAGGCAGCTCTCATTTTTCAACTCCTCCTCACCACAGCTTTGCCAGGCTGGATCTTATTTCGTAATTGTGTTTTAGATTTTTACTCTCTCGTTCTCTTTGCCTTCTTCTGTTCTGGGCTGGAGGGGGGGAGGTAGGGAGGGCGTTTTGGAAGATCGCTGCGAGAAATCTGGGTGGTTTTTTTTTTTCCCCTTAATTTTTCGTGAGCTTCTCCAGATAGGAACCGGGTGGGAGGAGTAAATAGTTTTATTGAAATGTTCACGGAGGCTCTCGCTGGATAAAGGGGTGACACGATTTTCGTTCCTACCTCACGGTGCCTGCTTAATGCCGTCAGAATGCTCCTGGCTTTTGTCAAGCCTGTTGCTGAAAAACAGTTTTTAAGCCTGGAGCACAGGCATCCAAAGGCCCTGGCGGGCCGGGGGCTGGGGCTCTGTGAGCCGGGTGACCATCAGATGAGCCCCCGTGCACACAGGTATCCTTCTGTCACAAAGGAGACTCTCCCACCTGCTCCGGAATGCTGAGCTGGAGGCTCTTAAGGCTGCTTTTGACCCAGAATTATTGCCATCCTCTAGGTAACTGTCCTTTTAATGGGCAAGAAGAAGAAAGGTTTAGGGGGTATTAAAACAGTTCTGTGTCTGTGAAGTGCTCTGTTTTAAAATGACATTGCAAATTTCTAAAGCCTTTTGTGTGTGTTTTTCGGTATCTTTTAAGAAAAAAGGACTTTCGATTTGCAACTTCTGTGGTATTTCACTCTAGTGCCAAACTCCTTAGCTTTGGTAGCCTAAATAAAATAGCTTGGTTAGTGTTTGATATACTGGACTCAGGCTTAAAACAATACACTTCCCAGCAAGAAAAATAAGAAATGCTTGTTATGTCTCCCGTATTCAAATGACCTCCAAACCTTTGGTAGTATCAACCTTTTTAGTACTGTTTATCTATGACTTAATGTATAATCAGTTGTTTGTTAGTTTATTGTAGTAGCCCAGCTGTAGTTCCTGCAGAAGGAAGCTGGGAAGCAGAAGAGCTGATTTTCAGTTCAGGCTTGTGGTGGTGGTGTTATTTTAAATTTAAATAAAAAAAAAAAAGCTGAAATTAGCTGAGTGCATTTTATTCCTCTAGTTTTTCAGGAACAGTTTTTTAAATGAGAATACTGTGCACATAAACATCCATTTGATGTTCATGTGCTGTTGAACTCGAAATTTTTGTGCATTTTTTTTTGTTACTGCTCCTTTGGCCTTTCAGTACAGAATCAGAAAGGAGCAGAGTGAAGTGGGATTCTGTTTTGGGTACGATAAATTGCATTTATCCTTGTTGAGTCCTTGCAGCTGCTCAGTCAGTACGTAGCAAGCATCCTACCATGAAATCTTTGACAACATGGTAAATTAAAATTCCACAGGAAACCTTAGCAGAACAGTTTTTAAATCACCTCCATGCCTCGTGGAAATCCGAAAATGATGTATTTGGACTTAATGAGAATTCTTCTTTGTGTAAGTAATCAATGAAGTTTTGTACAATTAGGGAGTGTGTAGAATTTTGTGGAGCCTTATTCTTAATGTCATCCAAGAAGAAACCCTTAATACCATCCAAGAAGGAACCCTTAATACCATCCAAGAAGAAACACTCCACAGCTATGAAGAATTTTAAAACTAGAACCATTAAACTAGTTTACTTAGAATAAGAAAATCCTTCAACTAATGCGATTAATTTAATTGCAGTAGAAATATATATAAATATATATATCTTTCGTAGGGTGCCTTTTCCTGACATTAAGCAAGATGTTGGCTGCAGCTGTGTAACAACTTCCTGGTGCTCTGGAGCCTTAGGTTTGCTCATGTGGAAAACAACTAAACAGTTTCTTCTTAAACAGTCACTTAGTTATGATTTCTCAATCCCTGCGAGACCAGATGCCAATTCCTCTGGAACTGGCGTTGCCGTTGTGGGTCCCTGCGAGGTCCCTGGAGCCGTGGGGAGGGATGTTGAGCCAGTGTTAGGTTGAGCTGCTTTTATGGTTCCTGCCATAAAAAACTGGGAGTTGTTTGCGCTCCGCGAAGCCGCCGCTGGATCTGCCTCCCGCACGTCGGGCCCGGCTCACGTCCCGGGCGCTGAATTGGATTAAATTCTTACTGTCCGTGGATTTTGGCTCTCGGCATTAGTGGATTGGTAATTGATATTCTCAATTTTCATATCCATTTTGGAGCCATATGGCACAACGTATTGCTCCGGGAGCCGCAGTTAGCGCTGCCGCCTTCCCGCCGGGGGGAGGTGGCACCTCGTGCCTTCAGGTGGTTGAGCTGGGCTTGGGTGAGTTGCCTTTGGAGTCTCCAGTGCCCGTGGCCGTGCCAGAATTAGAGGTGGGGTCCTTTTTTACAGTATTTTACCAGTTATGCTGCAGGGGGGGGAAAAAAAAAGTATAACCTTGAAAGCGCCCAGGCTGTGTTAGTGAAATGTTTCTGAAGCATGTGATTGGAGATAAAGTGGGCATGTTTTGAAGGGAGTCTCTTGGATGCTCCAAGTGCAGACTCCATACTCCATTCAAAATGTTTTTTTTCTCCCCACTGATAAAGTTGGAATCAGTGTTAGCCAAGGTCGTGATAAAAAACAAAAATACCCCCAAGCCCCTCTGTTTCTATTTAACATAGTGTCTCCATTTATTATTTCTTCACAGGGTGTCCAGTGTGCTGGGGATTCTGTGAGCGTGGATTTGTTTTTCACCAAACACAAATGTATGCACAATCCATAGATACTTGAGCCAACTGGTAGTTGAGCAGAACATTAAGAGGTTTTTAAAAGCTTTGAGCTGGCTATGAGCAGTACCTTTGCTTTGGATGCCAAAATAATCAGCGTAAATTACTGTGCAAGGCTTCCTACTACAAAACCAGGGACACTCTTGAGATAGGTTTTGAGGCAGAATTCTGCATTTTTATTAAAGCACTGGAGGATTTCTGAGCAGAGAGAAAGGAGATGATCAGCCTTGGAGTAAAAATGAACACTTAAAAGTATTTTTGTGGACATTAAGATCAGATCTTCTTGCCCTGTTGTTTTTTTTTAACAGTTGACCTTCTAAAACGTGTTCTTTGCAATTAATACCTCGTAAGACTTACCAATTAATTTGTATTAAAGGCTTGCCCATTGCATTTGTTGGAGTGGCACAGGACGTGTTATGATTTATC